ATAAATTTCGAATGATTATCAAATTTCAACATACGTGTCCAAATAAATACACTAGTATATTTTATACTGAAGTGTGGAAGCACACATTGGTGAGCAAGTTGCACATCTTCCTCTACTTCCAAATCTTCTTATTGGATCAATGTGATCTAAAAATGATACCATGTAGCCACTCTAAAGTAAGGGTAGCATGTGGGCCGGTTAGGACCGGGACCGACCCAGGACCGCAAGCCCAAATGGACGATGGGCCTAAATGGTCCTAACCGGATAGGACCGGGACCGTTGGGGAGGTGGGCTGGGTAGTGGACCGGTCCTATAGGCGAGGCCCGCGAGACCGGGATCATTTGGGACCGGGACCGACTGAGAAGTGGCCCGGTTCAAGCGGTCCTAAACGGGCCTATCCAGACCCAACGGATAATTTTTAAAAAGAAAAAAATTGACCGTTTGTTCATTTAAAAACTAGTCGTTTGGTCTGCCAAAATAGTCGCTGGCTATTTGCAAAATAGTCATTTAGCCCCCTCAAAGTTTGTTTTAACCTCAAACTTTTTATAATTATACTTTTTTCCTATTTTTAACTACAAATACCCCCTAATTCTTTCATTTTTCTCATAAAATCATCAATCTCAATCAATATCTCTCTAGTATTCTTCTATAATTGCTTACTTAATTGTTACATTTTGTGCAAAATTGTGAAGTTGGTGAATTGAAGTCTTCAAGTCTTCAACAATAATTAATTTTCAATAAGTTGTTCGTCATTTCGGTAAACTCGTTCCAACTCTTAAGTTTTAATATTATAGTTTTGTTTGTTTTATTTACTTTGCTTGATTGATTAAGATGGATTATTCCTTAAAAAAAATATTTAGTAAAAATAAGGGAAAATTCAAGAGTGGTGAATCTAGTGGCCAATCTGTTCCTCCTCCACTTCCCCCGGCTCTCCGACCAAAACCTGTTACCCGTCCTACAACTCTTATTCTTGATAGCGATAATAGTTTATTACAATTTATCGGAAGTCAATTTTTTCATAATATTGCACCCAATGAATAATTAAACCATGAATATATGAATATTCTTTATGGTAATCCAACTATTGATGAAAATGATGATGAAGAAATAGATTTTGATGAAACGCAACCGGATGACGATACACCCACTAGTCCTGCTCCTGAAGTTAACCCAACTAATAATAATCCAAATGATGCCCCGTCTGATCCTCCTATTACTGTCCCTACTTTTTCTAGACAACCTTCTAAACGGGCAGAAACATCTCTTGTTTGGCTATTTTTTACTCAACTAAGAGAAAAAAATAGGGCTAAGTGTAAAACTTGTGGCAAAGAGTTAGTTTTTAAATATGTTGGAAGTCGGGAGGGGGAGGGGAGGGGCGGAAAGTTTGACCAGACACATATTGCTACACCCTCAAGATAAAGCTAGATATTTTCGTATGAAAGCTTTGGTCGAGGGGACAAGTGCACCTAGTTAGGCTGACCTTAGTACCGGGTCAAATCAATTTCAATCGGGAATTAACACTGTTACCCATGGTATTTTATATTATGATCCAAAAAAATATCGAAAGAATTGGCAAAAATGGTTACTGTTATATGCTTACCCTATACTTTTCCTTCTAACCCTCACTTTGTGCATTATATTAGAAAATTTTATAATCCTACTTATAAAGGTTTTCCTCGCACAACCGTAAAGAGCGATATTTATAAATATAAACATGAATATGAACAATATTTGCGCTATTTATTTACTCATATAAATTGTCGTGTGGCTATTACAACTGGTATTACCTTACTATTACCAGTCATTGGATTGATGAGGATTGGATAATGCAAAAGCGCATTATTGCTTATAGAATAATTAATTCACGTCACACAGGGCAGTTTATTTCTAGCACGATTACGGATATTTGTAGATATTTTTGCATTAGTGATAAAATAATGTCAGTTTCAATGGATAATGCTACTAGTAACACAAATGTTGTAGCCTTGCTTACCACTACACTAAGTCCTGTATTTAGTAACATTTTTCATGTTAGATGTATTTGTCATATTTACCATTTAATTGTGGGTGATGGTATACGAATTTTAAATGTTGAAATTGAAAAGGTTAAAATGGCTCTTAATTGGCTTTTTTATTCAAACCGTAGAAGTAGACTTAGAGAATATTTTAAAAGATGCGATAAATTTGACCTAAGAGAAAGAAAGGTTCCTAAACCTTGTCCGACTAGATGGAATTATATGTATGAAAGTTTAGTTGTTGCATGTGAATATAGAAAACCCATAAACTCAACGTTTAATGCTCATGTAAGTGATGATGATGAGTACCTTACAAATGCGGATTGGGATAATGTTAAAATGTTTGTAGATTTTTTAGAAAAATTTCATATTGCTACAAATGAATTTTCTGGGCAATATTATCCTACTTTTTCTAACTGTTTAGTTTATATTGCAGAACTTGCAAATTTCAGATGGTGGGGAAATTTATCAACTTGCTATTGATTCTATGAGAAAAAAGTTTTAAAAATATTTTTTTTCCTATTTCCCCTATTTACGGTGTTGCTGCATTGTTAAATCCTACTATGAAATTAGGAGGTCCTCAATTTTGGTATGAAACTGTTATAATGGTTTAGCACTTGAAGATGAGGAGTTGTCTAAACTTCCGAACGCAATAGCCTCAATTAAAATAAATGTTCAAACTATTTATAATGCTTATCAAGTTGCATTAGATCATGCTAGACCAAATGTTCCAACTCCTTCTTCTTCTAGTTCTCAATCATCTAAAAGAACTGCGGGAGTAAGAGCACTTAGTGCTTGGGCAGGGTTCAGGGGTTCTCAAGGTTCTAGTACTAGTGATTTTTCACAACTAAATGAGCTTGAAGTTTATTTGTCACAGGGAATTGAGGAAGTGAATCCCGACGGCTCCTTTAATATTTTGGAATGGTGGAAGGACAAAGAAAAACACTTTCCGATTCTTTCAAGGATGGCCCGAGACATTTTAACTATTCAAGCTTCAACAGTGGCATCAAGGAGCGCTTTCAGTCAAGCAAGACTTCAACTCGGTGACTATAGAGCGTCTATGATCGAGAGCTTGGAAAAATCAGTACTTTTCAGAGATTGGATCCGTTCGGAAAGAAGAAATTCTGGACTTGCTGAATCACAACTAGAGGTAGACGAAGCTTACGAAGAAATGCTAGCTGAACTTGCGGAGGATGATGCTTCGCCTGGAAGCGGTGATGACCAAGCTTCTTTTCCGCCACCACCAACGAAAATTCCTCCGGACCTTAAAGGATTTATGAAATTTGTAAGAGATACCATGTAAATTAATATGTACCTTATATTTTGGCACATCTTGATTAGTGTCTTTTTATTCTCAATGGTGGTATTAGCACCTTGTTGTGCTCATTCTATAGGGGGAAAAAAAACTAAGAAAGATATTGCTATGATTTTTTAATGCTATAATAAAATTATAACGCATTGCTTTGAATATCTCTTTAAAATATTTTTGTCTTTTTATATATCTTAAGATGTATATATAGTATAATATAGTATATACTATACTATACTATACNAGGTGACAATTCTATAATATAATTTACAAGGAATTGCCTTAGATATTTTTATTACTATTTTTTTCTCTAACTGAAAAAAAAAATTAAAAATAGAAAGTATCTGTTGAGCCCACTTAGGCCCGCTTGGGCTCGGGACCGGCCCACTTAACCCGGGACCGTTAGTTCGTGGTCCCAGTCCCGGGACGGTTCCAACAAAAAGCCCGCGAAGCCCGGGACCGCTTAGGACTGGCCCGCCTAGGACCGGGTCCGCGAAGCCCACTTAGGACCGGGCCCGTTCCACATGCCACCCATACTCTAAAGGGCTGCTATTTAGGAATTAATCAATGTGTATTGAATTTTAATTTTTTCGGTTCAATTTTTCGGGACACAAATATCTTGAATTACTATGAAATTAAGATTTTCAATCAAAACAAAATAAGTATTGGATAATCTTATATAGCACTACTAAAAATGGTTGTTTGTGTACCCCCAATGTGTGAGCTATTGGGCTTCATCCAAACTTGAATTATTCAATTGGCAAATCTTCAACAGAAAAATGACATTGTATAGCCGCTGAAAAAATAATAGTCGAAAAAATATATAAAATTTGTATATTTTTTGTATTTATATATATACATTATGTATGTTATATACAAAAATTATACAAATTTTATACACTTTTTCGACTACTAGATGTAAATAGTTTCGGACGAGAATTAAAAGTGATAATACCACGTCTTCAACCAGGCCTCATTGATCCTTTTAGTTCTACTCCGTGTAACCGGACCAAGTGGGATTTAGGTAAGGGGAGCTGGAGTGTAGTTTTTCTGATTCGGCCAAAGTCAATCACTTTAATTCAAATTTTGTATTTGTCTTAAGAAATTCATCAAATATGTATAAATTATTAATTTAAAATTCAGTAACTACGTTAAAATTCCGAACCTGTAAACTACAAATCTTAGCTCGGTCAGTGGAGGTCCGAACTGATATGATGTTGAAGAATCAACATATGAGTTATGGTTAAGAATGAAATACCATTCGAACCAACAACTAGTTGTCACCGTATGTCTTGCCTGCCGACCTAGTTTGAGAATTCCCGATTTATATATGTTTCATGCCGGTGAGAGGAAGTAACTCAATAGGAGAGATTGACCTATTTCATACTCTTCAAATAGCAAAGATTAAGCTTGTAAGGAATGATTAAAACTATCCTCTGGGCTTGATCTTCACCTTAGGTTTTCCAAATTTTTTATTTTTCATGTACTTGAAGATCCTTGTTAACAATTCTGAACCTCTACTCCATACCATATAAAAATAAACAAACGAAGTTAATTTCCAGCCTTGCATTTTCCATAATCGGATATAACTATCTTCATCCACTCAATTTTCCCACGTCAGCTCCAATTTTCAGTTACAATTTAATAATCTACCATTTCTTTTTAATCTTTTATTCTCCTTTAGTAAAGTTTTTTCTATATTCAGCTTTAGTAACGACTTTATAGCAGTTATTGCAACCACCAAAAAAAAAAGAAAAAAGGGGGTACAAGAAAGAAAAAGAGAAATGCTAAGTAGCAGAGTAACAGCAGCAATTTCTTCTTCTACTACTGCAACTTTTTTATTTAATAACCCCAAAATCTCATCCAAAAAATTCCCTTACATTTCTAACCCATTGAACAATTCTGCAAAATCCATTAAATGGAATTGTAGGAATTCAAGAATGGAGAAATCTGCATCAAGTTTTGTTACTAAAGCTTCAGCTCAGCCCCTTACAAATCCTGGAGAATTAATTGATTCTGTTGAAACCTTCATCTTTGATTGTGACGGTGTGAATTTCTTGCTATACTCATTGTATTTGCTTAATTTAATCTTAATTTGTGTATCAATTCAGTGGTATTTGTCTTTGTCCCAGTGTTTTAGTGGGCTTTTTGGAAGTTGTAATTAAGGTGTTTGATATTTTTGCTAAATTTATTTTGGGTGTGTGTTTTTGTGTTGTTTCATGATATAGACAACTTAGGATTAGTGGGTTAAATGACATTCATTAAAAGAATAGCAGCCGAGTGCATTAAGCTCTCGCTATGTTAATATGACATCTGATATAGAATGCAACAAGGGAAAGGGCAGGCCGGTGCGTAAAGCATCCCGCATTTACGCAGGGTCCGGGGAAGGGCCACACCCCAAGAGGGTGTAATATAAGCAGCCTACCCTGTCAGTGGCTGGTTCCACGGCTCGAACCCGTGACTTATAGGTCACACGGAGACAACTTGACCGTTGCTCCAAAGCTTCCCTTCATCTGATATTGGTCATATAGAATGCATTGAATTAATTTTATATATAATGAGAATCTTAAATTAATACCCATAACGTATGATACTTTTTAACATTTCTTACCTTTTTTAATGTGATAGTGGAATGGCCTAAATTTATTTTGGTATATGATGATATGAGTTGAACTTAAATGGAGAAGTGATGATTCATATAGCTGACCTTAACTTGTTCGGGATTAAGGGGTAGTTGTTGTTATTGTAGTGGAATAGCCTAAATAAAGTAATGTTAGGAAGAATGTGAATTAAGATTTTTACCAATATATATACATGTTCATCAATCTATCAATGTCCATATTGGAGACTGGGGCTTTGATCAGTTTGAGCAGATCAAAAGGGCATGTCGGCGCACAATGCATCATGCATTCACGCAGGGTCCGGGGAAGACAACCTACCCTAATGTATGCATTAGTGGTTGCTTCCACGGCTCGAACCCGTGACCTATAGGTCACATGGAGACAATTTTACCATTGCTCCAAGGCTCCCCTACATCAGTTTGAGCAGATCAATGTGAGCAAATGTGTCAAACATAGGGGTATAAAAGCTGAAATAGATATTGCAAATCATCTCTATTCAGATTGGAGATTGGAGAGAAGAACTGTATTGGTTGGACTCTTATTATCAAAAAGCTCAGAGTCCTCCAACTCAAAGCTTTTAGCTTGGGAACTGATTTAAATTGCATGAATCCCTTTAATTTAAGCTTGTTTGCTTGATTGTAGAGCCTTTTAAGTGAAAATAATTTGATTAGTTATTATATCCAAGAGATCCCTTCTCTTTCAGATAGTAAGAGATCATCTAATTGTTGATGATCATGTTCAAAGTTTGGCCTATCAAAATACATAGATATTTGAAAACTTCTTCTAGAGTTGTAAGACCGAGCTGGATGAGAAATAGGCATGAAAACTTCTGACACTTGCAACTGAAAGAAATAGGAAATAGCAGAAAAGCTTTGATTATTTCCCTTTTTCTCTTAGCATTTTTAATATAGGTGATAGTCTAGGTTTCTTTTCCTTTCCCTTGACATCTTTGTCTCTTAAATTACCCCGAAAAGGAATGTTGGTGTTGTGGTCCTAACATGGTAAGCAAAAAAGGTTGAATAAGTTACTTAAAATAAGGTCCTTTTTTCTTCCATTATCTACAGGAGTCATATGGAAGGGAGATAAACTAATAGACGGGGTCCCTGAAACTCTTGATTTGCTCAGAGAAAAGGTTAGTAGTTCTAATGTTGGATTCTTTGTATACTTACATTTGCTGATTACAAGATTGCTCATTGCATTCTATTCGTAGTTCTTAAGAGAAAACTGGTTGCTCTATCTAATTTTGTGTACTTCATTCTCCAGGGAAAAAGATTAGTTTTTGTTACAAACAACTCAACAAAATCTAGAAAGCAGTATGGGAAAAAGTTTGAAACACTTGGTCTTAGTGTCAGCGAAGTAAGTTTACGCCTTACAGCTCTTCTAGTTCATATTATGTTGACTAGTAGATCAAGTTCTAATAGCAAGTCACCTTACAGGAGGAAATTTTTGCTTCATCCTTTGCTGCAGCTGCTTATTTGAAGTCTATTGACTTCCCAAAAGATAAAAAGGTAAGCTTCAATTGAATTCACAGTGTTTTACCAATTGTAAATCGACTGTTAAACGTGAAAGCTATCTGGTGCATAAAAGCTACAGTATTATGGATTTAAACATATTGCTGAAAACCTATACTATTTTCTTAAGAAGCTGAGATCCATTATCAGCATCATAATTTTTTACCTACTTGTTAAATTGGTGTCCATTTTTAAGGTGTACGTTGTTGGTGAGGAAGGCATCTTGAAGGAGCTTGAGTTAGCTGGCATTCAACATATTGGTGGACCGGTATGTACAAATAAACAATAGTCCTTTCTACTTTTAGGAATGAACTATGATATATCTTAATGTTAATAGCTTTTGGCTTATGATAGTTTTTCACTTTTTCACTTCAAATAAATCAACCATTTTTTAAGTAACCTATGGAACTAGATATATGTTATGTTCTCATCTTGTGAAGCATACTTGTGGTATGGGATTTTGTCTGATGAAATAAGATGGTAGTGTATGTTTGTATTATAGCCATATAAATGATCGTTATCTAATCGAAAGCACTATTAAATCGAAATCCCATACTTATTTTAGACCATTGTTTTTAATTGAATGCATATCTTTCATTTTGTAAGTCTTTGTTATGCTTTTTTCTTTGTCGAGTATAAATTATTTGACAAGAAGAATGAGATAACAAGACTTACAACAAAAAATAGAAAGAACAAAAAGAGAGAAAGAATACATGTCGTTTTGCATCTTTCAACCAAAATTCATGTTTTACTTTCAATTTACTCCAAAGACGTATAAAAGACTCTTTTAAAAAGAGACAACTGACATAAAGAGAAAGAACAAGTGAATCTTGTTGTATTTTATTTTAGCATTCTAACAGAAGGGGTTTCAACAAATTAATAAAATACATAAACTGGTATTTCCCTTTGTGAAAACACCCAATTTTAATTAGGAAAGGTACTAGAACAACCGACCTTTTCAGGGTAAAAGGAGAAAAGGAATGTATATCTGGGAAAATTAGGTTCCATATAGATTATATGGATTCAATCAGTAGGTATACTCACAAAAATATGTTTACTTGCAAAATAGTGGAGCTACAAAGACATTTGCTCGATGCCTTCTTTGGCCTTCCTTTAGTACCAGATTGACTTCTGAACTGAATGGTGTGTTTTCCTTTTTTTAACAGGAAGATGGTGACAAGAAAATAGAGCTAAAGCCTGGATATATGATGGAGCAGGATAAGGATGTATGCTTCATTTCTTGTTTCTTATCTTATTTTGTTCTCGTGTGTGTTCTACGTTTAAATTAGACCAAGTTCTACTATCTTTTAAATATATTGTGCTGAGTTGTGTCTACACCTTTTAGGTCGGAGCTGTTGTTGTTGGATTTGACCGCTATTTCAACTACCACAAAATTCAGTGAGTTATCCTTTTTACCTTTTCTGCATCAATATTCCTTGCCGCATAATATCTAGCAATGTGATTACTTTGTTTTACGCTTAACCAGTAATGAGCTTATGAGCTTTTTTCATGCATTTGCTTGGATTATATATGCTTAACCACTCATATAGTACCTTTATCTTTGCTCAAAGTTCCGATCATCTATTCCATTTTAGCTATCCCACACTAAAATATTCCCCTTGCNAATGGGCAGGTTATTCCCGTCTTATGCTTTAATGTTAGTTTCACATGTTTGTCATGTGAGTTAACCGTTCATTGTAGAAGTTAGTTGTTGAATCCATTCTCCGTTGAAGTCAGCTTCATTGTCCAAAAGTATATGTTGTGAAGAAGTGAACTATCAGAATTTTCATCAGAAAATGTCAGAATTTTCATCAGAAAATGTCACATGTTCAGGCGTTGCGAATGACTCAATATTTCTGGGTCTGGAGTTTGTATTATATGAAAGAGATTAACGAGCATGTTGAAACTAGACTTTGTCCCATGATCAATTTGTCGTCAGTCGCTTAACTTTATGGATTCAAGGAATCTTATGCGGCAGAGGATTTTTATTGACTTAAAACCTCTACAGTATGTTAAGGGAAGAAAATAACAAAAAATGGGAACTTATATCATTTTTATGACCCGATGGAAGGGGAGAAAATTTGTGTAGATGTTTTAAGTCAATAAATGAGAGAAATAACGGAGGTTGAGGGATCATATGCATATATGTTAGTTGAGGGAAGAGGAAAAGAACTTTCAGTATCTAGGGACAGAGTACAAAGAAGAAAAGAGGTAGAAATTTTGGGGTTCAGTAAACATGTGTAGTTTGTATAATAGCTGAAGAATTTGGTAATCTAACTGAAGCGTGCTATTTCTGTCTTACATACTCGAGTCAGAAAGCGGGTCAAGAAAAGTTGAACTGCAATTCGTGAATTCTGACTTGCTGACCATTTCCTCACAATCATTTATCTAATCGGTAAAAATTGAATCCCGCTAACAGAGACTGTCGTAGTATGGATAAACCTAATTTGGAGAAACCTTGTTAGTTGTTATAGTCAAGGAATTCGATATAGTTAGAACGATGAGGAGATTTATTCAATTAGCATTTACATTGTCATCAACTTATTGCCGTGTTAAGATCCTACTCTAGTTAATATTATTTCTAATTTTTTTGTATCTTCTGCTTTGATCATTCTGTACAGTCATAGCCATAAAAGAATTTTTTTCATCTTTAAACTAAGCTGCATTGTTGCTGTTCTGTTGCTTCAGGTGGTGGTTCAATGGTTGGTGCGATCCTAGGCTCTACAAAGCGTGAACCACTTGTTGTAGGAAAGCCCTCAACCTTCATGATGGACTACTTGGCTAATGAGTATGGCACCTCACTTTCTACAATTATACCTGTCATTCTTGCTTTGTCTTCTTTTCTAGCTTTCTGGATCATTGTCTTCTGAATACAGGCTTTTGGTGTGTGAATATGCAAGCTTCTTTTAGTCATCAAGGTTTTATACATTAGTGCATTGGCAACATCAAATTAACATGCAGGTCATTATTAATTTTTATTTCTTGGTTCCGCATCCGGCGTCCGGTACCCACATTGGGGTCCAACTAAATCCAGATTCGCACCGGGAAGTCCCATATTAAGGGGTAAAGCGCTCCCTAACAACAACTCCAGACCGGGGCTCGAATCCGAGATCTCTGGTTAAGGATGAAGGAGTACTTACCACTCCATCACAACCCTTGTTGGTTGGTTGTGGTGTTGGATTTCCTATCATTCTAGTAGATTACAACAAATTTAAAAAGTTAGTACTGCTCCAAAAGCTCGTCAATCCAAAAGTGAACTTTTAGCTATAAAGATTAAATAGCTATGAATGCAGGATTTTCTCATTGCAAGTACAAGTAAGTGAAATTTTAACTTGTCTAATTAAGACCTTCAACTCTTCACTACTGCTCTATAATCACTGTGATTCTTAATCCTTTCAACAATATACTTGTTTGGTTGGTAATGAAGTTATTCGGGAAAAGGTGAGAGTGACCCATGTGGAGGATAAGGTGCGGGGGGCGAGTTTGAGATGGTTCGGGCATGTTAAGAGGAGAAGTATAGAAGCCAAAGTTATAAGGTGCGGGAGGTTAGCCTCGGTGGGTAGCAGGAGGGGTAGAGGTAGGCCTAAGAAGTCTTGGGGAGAGGTTATTAGTCGCGACATGGCGCAGCTGGAGCTGACTGAGGACATAGCCCTATACATGAGGGTGTGGAGGTCAAAGATTATGGTAGAAGGTTTTTAGGTAGTCGAGCGTTTTCTCTTTGTCTTACTCAGTTCGCTAGCGTTAGTGTTAGTATGATATCTTTTTATTCATAGATTGCTATTACTACCTAGAGTTTCACTGCATTCTTGGATTCGATCTTATTTTATCTTGTTGTTATTCCTACTTGTTGCAATTACTTTTTTATTTTCAGTCGTTCTCTAGCTGAGCGTGTATCGGAAACAGCCGCTATGCACTTCCGGGTTAGGAATAAGGCTGCGTACATCTTACCCTCCCCAGACCCCACTTGTAGGAAACTACTGGGTTTGTTGTCGTTGTTGTTGATCCACATGATTAGTTGTTATATATGTGGTGGACCAAGATGTTTCTTGATCCACGTGGATCCAATTCTTCTATCATTTTCAGGTTCACATTCACAGGAAAAAAAAAAGAATAATCAATTTTGATCAGCATAAAACTATCATCCTGTGGAATATTAGAAAATCTTTTGGAGAAATGGACCAGTTTTTATTATGTGCACATCAGACGTTCAATAACACTTACTGCATTAATCTTCTATAATGGTACTACAACAGGTTTAACATCCAGAAATCCCAGATATGCATGGTTGGTGACAGACTAGATACTGATATACTGTTTGGACAAAATGGTGGCTGCAAAACTCTTCTGGTTCTCTCAGGTATCAGAAAGAATATTGTTCTCCTTTTATGCATATGCTTCTTCAACCTTGTTATCCAAACTATCTTTTGCTCGTGTTCTAGGTGTGACATCTTTATCGATGCTTCAAGATCCCAAAAACTCTATACAACCAGATTTCTACGCCAACAAGATTTCTGATTTCCTCTCCATCAAAGCGGCTGCAGTTTGAGCAAATCCCCTGATTATCTCTATATGTGATTCCATTCTTTATGACTTAGAAATGCACTTCATTTTGTGCATCCACTTTACCCTTATAGCTAAAAGGTGGGAGCTTGGAATTAGGCTATCTGAGAAACTATACAATGCTTTGTAAAGATTATGAAACCATTTGAACTTTTAAATAATAAGGGTTCTTGGAAAAATGAAGTCTAAGCTCAAGAACTTCCATTGTGATGTGTAGTGACTTATCTTTTCATTCATTTTCCTTGTTGGTGCATAATGATGCAAAACAATGGAAATGGCTGATAATTTTACGGGGCTGCTTATGTATTTGGCCAAGAAAAAAACTAAGATTGGAGTTTTAATCTAATAATTCTAACAGTGTTAATCTAAATAAAGAACTTCCTTTATTAGCAGCCAAGATTCAGCAATACTGTAATTTTTTCATTAAGTTTTTAATCAAGAACACTAAAAATATACTTGATATTTAACAATTATATTTGTTAGGTTTGATAGAAATGGTGGGGGAAAAAAAGATTTAACCTTAAATGCTGGGAAAGTCCCGTCGAATCCTAAAAATAACAACACAAAAACTGCACTAGACACCAAAAAAATACTAAAATAGCAAAAATTACACCTCAAACTTAAAGAATCGAAACTGCTCGGTGCATATTTAAGGGACTATTTTGAAGCTACTCTCAAACATAAAAGATTATTTTTGTCATTTTCTCTAACTTCAGTATAGGTTGCAATTTAAAATGAGATTTGTACTTCTATATATTTCTAAAAGACATACATGTAAATGTAAACAAAAAAGAAATGGGAGGAGAATCCGGGAATGCCTTCAGCGTTAGGGCATTTTTCTCAGGTGAAAAATACCACTATGCCTGGAGATGAAGCACGAATTCCTTTAATTTTCTTATCCCACAACTCTTTAAATCTAATGGATAAAGTTTGTTAAACATTTGAAGGATACCAAATGTGTTAATTTTTGGTAAACTTAAAGGACCAAAACTGCTCAGAAGATATTTAAGGGACTACTTTGAACCAACCCTCAAACTTAAGGGACCATGTTTGGCATTTCTACTTCAGTGTACCTCGCATTAATCTAATCCGAGGTGCTTATTTCCCTACTCTTCTAAAGACAAAACTACCTTCTTCGGTCCCGCTTGCTACGGGTGTACATGGATCGGGTTGGTTCGGCTTTTATCAAAACCAAACCAAATCAACTATATCGGTTTGGATTGGTTCGATTTTGTCGAGTTTTATCGGGTTTTCGGATTTTTTGGTTACATGAATATTATTCGAATCTTTATAGATAAAATTTTGATAAGTGAATATATATTTAGTAAATATTAAAAAAATTGACAAGCATATGATCTATTAAAATATTTTAATAAGAGAATTTTATTAGTAACACGTGATAGTTATTTTCTTAGTAGTTTATTAATAATTTTTTTGTCAATGTATGCTTTCAAAGTTAACACACGAGAGGATTCTAAATATTTTTATATTTTTTTAAAGAAATTTAATATAAAGTCTTAAAAATATATTTAAAAAATTATATATTTATATGTCGGTTTGATTCGATCTTTTTTAATTAATACTAAACTAAGTCAAATCAAACTTAGTCGGATTTTTTAAGGTTTGATTTTTCGGTTCGGTTCCAAAACTGCTGCCGCTTGCATCGACATAAAAGACTGTGGGCAATTAAGTCATTTCAAGTATATAAGAAGTGCCCCTCAAATTTCAACCAATGCACGGCAAAGAGACTTCACTTTCTTTTCAAATTCACTGCTCTTTGCCTCTTTCATCTCATCTCCTCAATTGAATTCAAAAACTTTCAGATCCAACAAAACACAAATCAAAATCAAAAACTAATTTCTTCACTGATCGATCGATTAATTAGAAAATTACAGCTATAAATAATACGCGCATTTACGCAATAATAAGTTCGAGATGAATGGAGTGGCGGAATGCAGCGTTTGCCACTCGAAATTAGGAGTTTCGCCTAACACGAGAACGGTTTCTAAAGCTTACGATCATCATCGCACTGATGTGTCGTTGAAAACACGCGCTTTCAACGTTTTTTTGGTTGTCGGTGATTGCGTGTTGGTCGGTTTACAGGTATTAGCACTCCTTACTACTCAACTATTAAGTTAAACTAGAAATAATCAGCTCAATTTTTATTTTTTTTTAAAGTTTTTTTTAATTTGTTGAGTAAAATATGCATATTGAAAGTTAACTGGTACGAAGCCAATCGTATGAGCTGGAAAAAGTGTGGTATTCTTAATACTTTTGTTGTTTTATCAAAGCCCTAATGTTCTTAGTTTAGAATTATATAGTAGTCTCAACAACAACAACATTAAGTTATCAGGTACTTGTGTTGAGAGCGATTAAGTAATACATTGAGAGCGATATCACGTGATTTCTTCCCATACATCTAAGCCTTGGTGGGCGGAGTTATCAGGTACTTGTGTTGTGCTCGAGGGTGGTACCATGTACTCGATGGAATAGTCGAGGTGTGGGCAAGCTGGTCCGGACACCATCATCATAAAAAAATACATTGGGAGCGATACAAGGTGATTTCTTCTCATCTGCCTAAATCTTGGTGGGCAGAATTACCTGGTACCTACTCTTGTGGGAGGTAGCAGCAGGGGCGGATCTACGTAGGGGATTGGGGGTGGCACGGCACCCGGACGCTCGGGTAAAATTCTATTTATGTACTGGTATTTTACTCGAAAACATGTATATAGGAAAAGGGTGGCACTCGGAAGTCACGAAATGACCGTGGGTGCCACAGTTGAACTGCCAAATTCCCACACGCAGGGCTCAGGATCGAATCTCGTTGTGTTCTCAAGCTGGTGTATTTGTCCCTTGTGGTCCTAGTTTACTCCTCTTCTTAATTCCTTCTATTTTTTTCAGTTTTGTATTTCCTCTCCCTTTGTACAACCTTATTTTTTACTTACAATTATATATTTGCTTCCTTTTTCTCATTCTAGATTTTCAAATTTTATTTGAATGTGATCTTAATCATTTTCTTTTTTTTTATCCATCTAATGTTATATTTTTCTTGATTCTCAATTTTTTTTAAGTGATGTCATCAATAAATGTAATATTAATCTAGCTATATGTAGATTGAATAGGTATATTTGCTAACTTAAATTTTATTTTTATTTTATGTTTTTTAATCACATTCAATAGAATTTGAACTGAGAGAATTAATCGAATTGGACAAAACTTATTATGTTTTGGAAATCACGTATATTTATTTATGCTTTAAAAATTTGATAAACTGAATTAAATTATTTCAAAATGGATCGGACTGAACCAAAAGCTAACCAAATCTGGATTATGTTGAATTGGATATTTTGGCCTATCCCTTTTTTTCTTTGACTAAGGGTTGTTTATTATGATGTTTACTTCTGCTGGTTTTTCGCTTGATTGAGGCAATTGTGATTATTCTAGACTTCTAGTATAATTTGCTAAATTGTGCAAAATTATTGATATTAATAAGACGGAGTCAGCTTGAGTAGTCATTTTTCAGAACTGTGTAGTACTGGAATATTTTCGGGTTTCTTCATGTAAGTATTCTAAATTATGTTATGTAGGTACATTGAATAAAAGATATTTTCTTTTCTTTCTTTTGTTGCAGCCTATACTTGTATACATGTCTAAAGTTGACGGCAAATTCGAATTCAGTCCCATTAGTGTTAATTTCTTGACTGAGTTAGCAAAAGTTGCATTTGCAGTAGTAATGCTATGCTTACAGGTATGCTTTGTCTCTCGTCATTTCTTAACTTATTCTGTAACCTTCTACACCTTCAATTTTTCTATGAGGTTCTTCTCTTCTTTTTCAATATAACAAAATTCGCTATTGGGTATTGCTCATATGCATCATAATTTGTGCTTAACTTCTTGATATCTTGGTAGTTGGTGTAACTATTCACTTGTTCTAAAATGTCTCAATCTTATGTATCATTTGAAGGCTCGAAGCCAGAAGGCCGGCGAGAAGTCTCTTCTCTCTTTCTCCACATTGTTCCAGGTAAATTTCACTAGGCTTGTATAGATATACAAGCCCCTGTAAAGTTGTGCAAAAATAAAATAATGTTTCCAGTGAGATGTGTCTTTTCATTTAGGCAAAAGAATATACCTAATCTAGTTGATATTTGGATGATAGTTTAGCTTGTATAGAAATTTTCTTCCAAGCATGCAGTCGATTCTTTCTTTTCCCAATTACTCCTCTCCTTTCATGTCATATGGAGGCTCTTCCATATGAAGGGGATCTTTTTTCTGTTGAAACATATGAAGGGGAGAAGCTACATTTGTAAGACTCTATGAATGGGATTAAACATTTTATGAGCAATTCACTAAAGGTGCCAAAATGGTAAGCCGGTGTTAACTGGAGCCATTTATCTCCATCATCCATTCCACAATTTTGTATTATTCAGCACAGAGTGGGGATAAGAGTACGAAGAAAATATTACTATTGTCAACTAACAGGATCTGCTCTCTGGAATCCGAAAGCTCTTCACGTTATTCTTGGCTTTTTTATCTTTTTTACATTATTGTTTTTTCATGTGAAATACATTTTATGCTCATATAATTTAGCAATTAATCTTAAATATTCACTTCACATTAATACAAATTATAATGCAAACAGACAGCAACGAAATATCCTGAGATCCCGCTAATCTTACATAATCACTTAATTAAACAATATATTAGTCATAAATAAACAAAAGAGTCTATTATTTTACGTCTACATTTCTATAAACAGGTGAGAAGAGGGTTATGAAGCCTCCTCGTAACATGTGGGAACCTATCTGGTCACAGAGAAAAAGTAATAGGTTTCCACTTCACCAAGTTAATTCTTTCTAATTAATCAGTGCTTATGTGTGTGGTTCTTTAAATCTTAGGCCAATCTGAATATTGAAATTAATGCAGCTAACTTTTCAGAAGTTCTTTCTCTGACTTCCTCGACCTCGTAGGACGCAAGTGGGATGTTATGAGTTATAGGGAAGTATGTTCATGGCTACTCTTGATACGAACCATTTCCTTTATTAATTGCAGGCTGCTCGGAACAATGTGCTTCTGGCTGTTCCAGCTTTGCTTTATGCTATTAATAACTACCTGAAGTTTATCATGCAGGTATATTTTTTTGTGGTTCCTCATTTGGATCTGTAGTATTAAAAGGTTTTCTGTGAGAGGCTTATCATATTCTCATGGACTTACTGTCTTTATCTTAGATGGGAATGAATAGAACGAAATGGGTTATAGAGGTATTCATGTACCCAACTTCAACTAGCTTGGTATTGAGGCATAATTGATCGATACGGGCTCTATCTTAGATATTTGTTTCCAGTAGTGTGCTATTCTAGTATTATTATGGAATATCATGTGCTTTCCAAGTTATAGATCTTTTTACATATAACTCAAAATGTACATTACAAGAAGATTTTTTATAACCTATTTTCCTGTTCTAGATCAGAAAGTAAATTGAGTATCTTCCTTGAAAGTTGAGAACTTTGGCATGAAAAGATTTTGTTGTCATTTCAAGTGGAAATGTATACCTTCTGGATTTCTGATATTCTCTATCTGTTATGACTATTTTCTTCAAAATCTTATGAGGAATTCATGTCCTCTTGCCTTTGTACTTTTGTCTTATGCGCTTGTTACCTAATGAACTCACTTTCTTGTCTAGTCCAAAAGTTCTGCAGTTTTGGTGCATGTTATTGGAGTAAAACCATCCTCTCGCACTTCCTAACGGCACTGTTGTTCTTTGTGCAGTTATATTTTAACCCTGCTACTGTAAAGATGCTGAGTAACTTGAAGGTATCCATTTGCTTATAGTTATTGCTGACACTGTCAGAGCTTGCAATTTCACGTGAGAATTCTAAAGTAGTTTTGGTCCTAAAGTTATATCTCCCTGATGAATCTGCAAGTAGGCGTAGCTGATTACCAAGTGGATTTTACAGGCTAGAGTAGTTTTCACAACCAAGAAGGATTTACTGTAGTTGTTAGATTTTCCACATATGTGCACTCAGGATTCAGTGGAAGAAAAACATTTGTGCTTGTTTCTCTTTGGATGGTAGTGAGCTGGTTAGTCCTTAATTTTCTTTGGGATATCTGTGGTGCCCGGGCCAACTGCACCTTGGCTGATCCATCAGGCAGCCTGTCTAATGCACAAGCATGGGTTGCCATAGTAATCCAGCCCCTAAAGCTGGAATCGATGGGCTCACATCAAGTGTTGTAGTTGGAATTAGGTGGTGAGCTTGCTAGTCGTTTAATTGCGGTTTGTATTCAAGGATGCTGTGATTACTGCTTGAGTGCTTGCGATGCCTAATTTGAGGATTCACTTATTTCTTAGCATACTTGTACCACATCTTTCCTTTTCTTCTGCTGGTAGATTTATTTTCTTGAAGTTTCTGTTGGTGATAATTTTGCTTTTTTATTTCGTCAAACATACAGGTTTTGGTAATTGCAATCTTGTTAAAGATGATTATGAAACGTCGTTTTTCCATAATTCAGGTCGGTTAAGGAAACAGAGGTTTGTTTATTAACTATTGTCACCTGTATTTAGTTGATCTTTAGATTTCGGCCATGCTGTCTTTATGCATCTCTTAGCCTGAAAAATATTAGTTATCTATGACTGTCTAAACTAATTGGTTGCAGTGGGAGGCTCTTGCACTATTGCTTATTGGCATCAGTGTGAATCAGCTGCGCACTTTACCGGAAGGTGCAACAGCTTTGGGTCTTCCAGTGACAACAGGGGCATATTTGTATACCATGATTTTTGTAAGTATGAATATGAAAATAATTCTTAATGACTACTCATCTGTTCGCAATGTTCCATGTTCATGCATATTCCCTTTTTTTTGGGTCCTAAGAGAATACACAACACAAGGTTCACAAATAGTGCCACTTGTACTGGAAAAAACCTTAATGCCATATTTTCTTGGCTTTTCACCTGTTTGCCTAATTTAATGTATAGAAACTGATGCAATATAATAATTCAGGTCACTGTTCCTTCACTGGCTTCTGTCTACAATGAATATGCTTTGAAGAGCCAATTCGAGACTAGCATTTATCTTCAGGTGAACTTTTACTGGTGATCACTCCTAAAATGCTTTAAATTGCTGCAGTGAGTTTGACTTCATTCAACTGGTTCCCAGGCAAAACCATAGATATCTTCTCCTCCTTAGCTTATTCTTCTTTCGTTTCCCATGGTTACTTCAGTGTCAGTTTGAACCATCACATCGAATTGTTATGGATTGCTAATAATCAGGTTTTCCTGAGCAGTATCTTTGCTTGATGTAATCTTACAAGCTAATGGTATGATAATCTGGATGTTCCAAGTAGTGAGGTCCTTCTAACCTCTAGGTGTGGCTTTGCTTAATCGGTGTCTATGACTTTGTAAATGATCCATGCAAACAACTGAACTGCTCTTTGCAGAATTTGTTTTTGTACGGATATGGTGCAATCTTCAACTTCCTAGGCATACTTGGAACTGCCATTTTCAAAGGTATGAACGGGAAATCTTGTCTCTGGGACTATTAGATGAAATACCATCCATGGCAGGATCCAAACTTGCTTATACTTCCCCAAGTCTTTTTGACTTTGGCTAAAATGTTTATGGTGTATCAATTCACCTTTACCATTGCTGAGGACGTATCAAAACTTAATTTCTTCCTTTACCCGTGGCTAAAATTCTGTCCCAAATGCTCTTTAGGACCTGACACTTTGGATATCTTACGGGGACACTCACGAGCAACAATGTTTTTAATATGCAACAATGCAGCTCAGGGAATCCTGTCTTCGTTTTTCTTCAAGTATGCAGGTGAGGCCTCTCTCACTTATTTGGCTTCCCAAGTCGACGAAATGCATCATGTTTATAACCCATATAACCATCCATTTCTATACCATAAAATTTTGGTATTTTATAATTCTGTTGTATGTGGGAGTCGGCTTTTTTCTCCTTAAATTTGGCCAATTTCTGCACTTCAAAAATGGATCGTCTCAATTTTTAAGTATTCTGCATGTGCTATTGATCTTAGATTCCTAGCTCTTACAAGGTAGGTCCAATCTGGTAGTGACTGACATGCAGATTTCATTTTTCCATGGTGTTTGTATGTCTTTTAAATTTTGTTAATTAAATGCATTAACTAATCATAGCTTCAATATTTCCTTTGCAGATACAATTCTGAAGAAGTATTCATCAACTGTTGCCACTATTTTTACTGGAATAGCATCTGCTGTTCTGTTTGGACATACCCTTACTATGAACTTCATCTTAGGAATCTCTATTGTATTTATCTCGATGCATCAGGTTATATTTGAATGCTGTTATCAATTTTGAGTGGCATGATCAATTTTTTGCTTGGGCTCACGTCAAGCTTCAACTTTTCAGTTCTTTTCACCTCTTGCAAAGGTCAGGGATGAGACACAAAACGACAGTTTGGAAATGGATTCTCAGAACAACTACAGGTGCACTCTTCTTTTATGTTTCAACTTTGTGAAAGCAAAACTGATATACACACGAGATCAGGGTTACCCTACAACGTCTTATCTCAACGGGCTTGTGAGATGCTTATGTCTAGATTTGCCCTTTAGATTGTTTTGGACCAAGTACTTATCATTCTTATGAGTCGGTAGNGTTTCCACGGCTTGAACCCGTGACCTCCTGGTCACATGGCACCAACTTTACCAGTTACGCCAAGGCGGCTTCCCTATATATATATATATATATATATATCCTTTAGTATGCTAGTTGTAACTGGGTGAATCTTGGATGGCCAGTGGCAGACCTCTACCTTTCACTATCACAAAAGCTCAAGATATCTTTCATGCAGCCAAGTAAGTTAATTTGGTAATATTGCTTTGGATATGGAGCCCTTGAAATTTCATGAGCTCTTTATTCCCCCAGAAAGAGAAAAAGCTTTGCAACCTTAGATTTATATCCAAATTATTACTGCTTTTTTACTTTCTTGATTAAATGGTCCGCTTGCTGAATTGTAAGCCTTTACGAGAAGTTCAACTGATGAAACTTAATTGTATCTAGAAAGTAAAACAAGTGACAAAGAAGTGCATGACTTAATGACATCTCCACTTTGTGGCTGTCTTCACAAGATATCAGAATGGATAAAAATGAGAGGAAGGATCCAACTTTTTTTCAAACGGGAAGCCTTTTAGTGACTGCTAGCTAAGCCTATGAAATGATAAGTAATTGGCAAATGAAGAACGGAGAAAAAAGGAGTTTTCATGTCAAAAACTTCAAAATAGGGAATACCCTCCAGTTCAGAATTGGAAAATTTGAAAAGGAAGAAAGAGGACAGCATTTGAGTGAGAATCCTTATTCTTCAGATCAAGAGCTCTTATTGTTTGTTATCAGTTTTTGGGCCAACCAGAGTATTAGCCACTATGTTGATGCATGACTTGATGTACTAGAGGCATTGAGCCTCATCTATCTTTTCGCACTGCCCTGGTGCTTTTCTAATAATATTCTCTGAATTATAAAAGTAAAATAGGGAATTTCCTCAGGGTCCTCGTTTCCAAGAGCAGAGAGGGCTTAATGATTTATTTTGAGTGGCCATGGAATCAAACGGAGTCAAGATGAAACAATTGCTTCTTCTGGTTCAATGGAGCCGTTAAACAATTGTTTTTTTTTTCTTAGTTTCCATTAAACTATTATTTTTCTATATATGGTCTTATCTATGCAGGTGTCTTAGAAAAACATATTTATCACTTTGATGCATGTTGTGCGAAGTCTTTAGTCTTTGTGTTGCCTTATCTCACTACACATTTGATATCATCATTCTAGTGCTTCTTCTTTGGAAGAAAATTTGAGTGCTTGATCTCTACAGGTCAAAGGATGGATCCTTCATAAATATGGCCGCTGGAGCAAATGAAGATGTAAGATTCTGATCAACTTGCAAAGACCTTTTTTCTTGTTTTTTCAAAAGATTATGCATGCATGTATTCCTCTCATCTTTTACGACATTTTACAGGCTAGCCATCGCGTTGGACCTGATGAGAAAGAACCCCTTCTTCCACATTAGGTATTACAGGTATGAACTCTCCTGGCACTCTTTTGCCGTGTTGAATGATATCTGCAGNTCTGCAATATAATGATTACATTTGCAGTCTCAGTTGTCAGACAGGTTGATACATAGCGGACTTTCAATATTTAGTTGATATGTTTCAGCGTCTTTGATGGGTGGTTTTAGAGAAGGTGTTAAGACCTGTGTCATTTACTAATATGCCCTGGCCAAACTTTAGGTCTGCTATTTGATCCCATTTAAATTGATGATGCCTTTAGACAAATCAGGTTTATATCTAAAAGTATTTGGCACAACCTACTCTATATTCCTAATTAAATATTCAATAATATTATCTTAGCATCCCAATCATGTATTTGGCTGAAGCCCACATGCAAGACTCTTGTCTTTTGTCAATGGATGTAGGCATTTGCCAGTGATATCATTATATTTGTGTAGGATTTCCATAGCCTTAAAAACCTCCTAGTTGCCAACCTTGTACATTTGTTTACAATGGTGATTGTGTGTGTAGTTTCAAGGCTGGACCATAGCAAGTTTACCTGGGATGTGATGAGATTGATCCTAACCCTTCCTGTGTATATGAGCTAAAGTTGATTCTAGGAAATTCAAACTACGTAATAGATGATGAATCGTGATGTTCTCAAAAGTATCTCTATTGATCCCTGAAGTTAATGTGACAGGATTATTACTGGAGAAACATCTTTGGCTGGTCGGTATATATAGGATTTTGGGTCATTCCCTTGATATTTAACATCAGTATGCTAAGATTCTTTTCATCCTCCAGATAGGCACTATGTGAGAATTTACTATAGCTCTTTTTTGTCCCATGAAATGAGGGTTTCAGGAACCATAGTCGATAATATTGGAGTTCCAGATGATCTGTATCATCCGTTTTTGTATAGAATTTAGTTCATAACCCAGGCATTATTATGACGTATGTCACGAATTGCAAGCAAAGTATTGTCTTGCACTCTTGCTAGTTGTGTATGATCAGAGGCGGATCCAGGATTTGAAAATTGCAGGTGCCACTATAGTTTATATATATATATATATATATATATATATACACACACACTATTCGGTCATCCATTTTTCCTAGTCGGTCTTTCTGACTAGTGGTAGGTATACATATATACATATTTTAAAAACATATTTTAAAAAGGCAAATATATTCGATTTTAGTTCAACTTTTTTACGCTTGATTTACTATTTTCTAGATAAAAGTATATAAAAAATTATTTCATGAAAGTACGCCTACAATTAGAAAATTTTCTTAAAGAGTAGCTTAATTACTATATAATTTTTGTTTGATTTGATTAATTGATCATTATTTTTGGGTTAATTTTTTCCATTTAATTGTTGCATTATATGACAATTATTTTCAAAGCCAAAATTTTAAAGTTATCAATCTATGAGAATCAAAGAGGAGATAGAGCTGGTAAAGATGACCGGCAGAAGCCTCAACAGAGGAAGAAAACTTAAAACCTCTATTTGTTAGGATATTTTCTTCAAAAGCCAACAAATGAAACTGCTCAAATTGTACTCCATTATATAAATTAATATTGTATCACTAGAAAGAGAGAAACTATATAGTACTTAAAATTCTAAAATTACTCATCGAAAGAAATTGCTTATGAAATAAGATATAATTATAGGAAGCAAAATGAAGACTAATGTAAAGAAATTTAAAATAAGAAAGAAGATGGAGGGATTTAGAATTGAACCCGGACCTGGGCGGTACATTAGACTTCAAAAGCAACATTTGAACCATGGCACCCACATGTCACTTGCGTAATCCGGTGCCACTTTACATATGCAATTAGACCTTTCTATAACAGCATTATATATATATGTAACATCTATTCACTTTAAAAGCCAAATTTTTCTCAGAATCGATTTTTTAAGTTATATTTTATCACTCTATAACAGCTTTTTACCTATAACAGCAACAATCATATTTATAGCAGCTTTGTAGAATTACCCCTCTATAACAGCCATATAGAATTTTAGAATTACTAATAATAATTCTAAAAATATGCACACAATCTTTTCCATTAAATAAAGTTTCTATCTTGCATAAGATATAGGATTTGAAGATTTGCACATGATATTTTTTTCACTAGACAAATTTTAAAAAATATTTAGATAGAAAATTTAACTGTTAAGCTCTTAGATTGTCTTCAAGGAAAAGCTATTGGATACTTTTTTGCTTAAAGTTTGGACACGAATTTTCGCCAGTTCGCGCGTTATATCGCTAGTAAGAGAATGGAATCTACGAAACAAGTTACAATTACAAAGTTCTTTCATCAGTCTTAAAAATAATTATTTATTTAGGTAGCTTTAAAATGTCTGCCTTAGAGTTTAAATCTTCATACGTTTAGTTATGAATTTATTAATAATGTATTAGCTTTCTCCAACATTTAACTAGTGAAATATGCATATATTTTAAGATTTTTTAAAATTTGAATATTTTTCTTATCTTTTATAAGTAACATTTAAAAAGAAACATAAAAGGGTCAAAACTGCCCGTAACCTAATCGCTTGGGTTAAAAATATTCTTCTTCCACCTATTTTGTAAAAACTACCCTCACCGTTAAAAATCTGGCTCATTCATGCTTTGCTGAATAATTTTTTTTTTTTGTATATGATGTGGCAATTGCTTATTGGTCAAAATTAGAAATCCCGCTCTAACCCAGATCTGATCCGTAAATAAGCCACTCACAATCCATCTTAGTCGTTCCAACCCGTTAAATCCTTTTTAGCCCGTCAAACACTTGATTCCATACCCAACTCATGATCCAATCGTTATTTTGGTTTCATGTGTCAAAATTTCATATTTTTCTTTGTATTAGTTTATTATTTAGTAACCTATCCCTTTCCCTGTTCATCTTTCCCAACTTAATCACTGCCAACAGTTTTCTAGCCAAATCACCGCCGTCGAACTGTGAAGCTAATTTGCTCACATGAATTCAATTAACTCCAAAAAAAACTACATGGTGGCACAACAAATATAACTTTGGCAGAAACATAACTTATTAAACCATAAAATCTTAAAATGAACCATTAATTTAATTTAAAGAATACCAGATTTCACTCAAAAAATAGATTTAACAAAAAAATATTAATTTAAAAATTAAATTAAGACCGAAAAATTTGAGTAGGAGAGGAAGATTCGTGGGTGTTGAAGGGTGAAGATCTTAAAGTTGAAGCCGACGGTGGTCCTCAGTCACTAATGGCGAGTTATTGTACTTTGGCCATAGAGGGGGATGATTAGAGAAAATGTAGAGTGGGAGGGTAGGGATGAAAGAGGAGAAGTTGAGAGGTGAAGTTAGGGCATTTTTAAAAGCGGGTCATGGGTCGGGTATGGATATTTTTGGGTCATGGAATGGGCTAATAGGATGTGGGATGAGATTTTAATTTAAGTCATTAGGAAATTGACACATAATAAGTAATAAAAAATTATCTTAATCAAAATAGGGTTGTTAGTTTTTAGGGTATGAGTGGGCGGAAAAGTTGACGTTAGGGGCAATATTTACAAAATAGGTGGACGAAGGGTATTTTTAAACCTAAGTGAATTGGTTAGGGGTAGTTTTAGCCCTTTTCAAGTAATTGATTTTTGGATAATTTTTATCTATAACAGTCAAAAAATATTTAAACGTCAAATGCTGTTATAGGTGTATAATAGTCATTCACTATAAAAATCAAAAAATATAGGAACAGACGAGACTGTTATAGAGAGGTTTGACTTTATAACTCATTTTTTATAGATATCAACATATTTATTAAGAATTTTTGCCGGGGGTGGCGTGCCACCCCGATCCGACCAGGTAAATCCGCCCCTGCTTTTATGCATGCACATTGTCTGTGCATTTGTCCCGTGAAGTCAAGTTAATAAATAATAGTAATAGAGCATAGCTACTGTTCTCTCTCTCACACACGCAAAGCAATTTTGAATCAATTTTTATGAAGGATTAACGTCACAGTTTTTCAAAATTCTTGCAAATATTTTCAGAAAAGTGACTTATATCTTCAGTGCCTTACGATGATGTGATGGCGGAATATGTCAAAATGTGAAATCAACTCGTCTTTTGTCAATATATGAATTATGATTATAAGTTAAAAATTGGCATCCTAACGTTAAGAAATTGGACTATTCTCATTCTCCAATGATTAGAATTTACAGACTGGCATCCCAAGGTTTAGAAATTGGAGAACTTGTTTTTGAAAGCTTCATTTCTTTGCTATTATTGATTTTCCTTTTGCTTTCTCTTTTAAGCGTAGATAATAAATACCTTTGCTTTCCACCAAAGGAGAAATATGCTTGAACTTCCTTCAATTAAATAAATTTAATACTTAAATAAAGAACTAACAAGTGCATCGCAAGCTGCTAATTGCCTACTTATTCCTTTAATATAATGGAAAAACTTATATTCCTTTTTTTTATACAAACGTTTTGCTTACTTCCATTTTAACAATCATATCCTATCACTCAAAGAAAAATCTCCAGAATAAGAAATCGATTTAGTTTTATACTTATTTCTTCTTTTCCTTTTTTGGTTATTGCTTTTTCGTAGTGAATATATTTACTATAACTTTCACTTCAGACCAAAGAATACTTGACGCAGACAGGAAAAGGAAAGAGCAAAATAGAGCTGAAGATTAAGGGCAATAAAATCAAGTATATTACCAATATATCTCAAATTTGAGTTGGAGAGAAAACTAGTATGCACACACATCGTTATTACTAAACTATAATAAAGTAGTATATATATTCTTATCTCAATATTACATAATTATTATAAATTAATATAATTTGATGCAAATATAAGTTTTTACCGTTGAATTTGATAGGCTTATAAATCCTATAATTTAATCTTAGAATCAGTGGCGGAGCCACCTTACAAGAAGGGGTATCAAATGACACCCCTTAGCGGGAAAAATACACTATGTAGGTAAGTGAAAAAAAATTATATGTATATATATACTATGTATTGACTCCTCTTAATTTTCCGGTATGTTTACTTTTATATATTTTGACACTCCTTAACAAAAATTCTGGCTCCGTCCCTGCTTAGAACTTGAACTACAAAGAAGGGCTCAAATCATTTGGTGAAACGGTCAAATGAGCCTAAGGAATACTTGAAAATGAAGCTTCAAAGTGTAAAATTATCTCACGTGCTTAATTAATAATGAACGTAAAGTGGCAAAATGGAGACTTGGCATCCAAGTTTTAGAATATTGACTCATTATTCTAATGCACTTCCCAGTATTTGAAGCATAATCCAAAATAGTAGTATTAAATTCAGAGGAAATTACTTATCATTGCCCCTCATTTTGCCAGAAAGTTGTAAGGCATATGCTTTATTAGTTCTTATTCCACTAGTCAAAATTGAATTCTTGGACCCCCATTATATTCTAGACATTTATTAATTATCATGTAATGTTGCAGTTGTGCGAAAAAATGTACTTGTATATGTTATTTCAACATTTTATATGATTTGACCGAAAACAAGTTATGATATTTATTGTTCATGTAGTGATAGTCGAGAAAAAAAATATTAAAATATGGGTTGAAAGTTAGTTTGATAGAGAAAATATCAAATTAAAATTTAGAATTTGAATGGTTTAATAAATTTGAATTTTTAAAAATTGTACAAGTTTTATCGAAATAGAAGGATGCCAAGTAAGTTTAAGATATATCAATATGAAAAGAGTGTCATATAATTTCAAACAGGAGAATATAATTTTTTCTAATAATATTACACGATGATAGTACAGGAATATCAGGATACTCTTATTTGAGGGGATCAATGTTTTAAAGAAACATACTAAAAGCCTTAAATATTTTAGCAACTAGTTGCATATAAAAGTTATACAAAAAATAAAGTAGTATAATATAAAGTCCTATCCTTTTCTTCTTTCTCTTTTCCTTTATTTTAGTTTAATCATACCCACTAATCACTATACTCTAATTAGCCGGCAGTTAAATATAAGTTTGTTTCCAAATGGGTAGCAATATAATTTTTTTTATGGCCTAATCTTGTATCATTAGTTCATTGCCTTGATGTCAAGAATGAAAAGTGTGAATTTTATTAACAATAATTAGTCATTAAGTGGCAATAATTTTGTTTAACTACTTGATAGGGAAATGAAGCATACAATTAGAACTAAGACATAGTATATTTTTGTCTATTCAATTGATCAATCAACTAAATCTTTATCCCAAACATATTTTTTCTGTTTTTCTTTTCAAAAATTAAACAACATTCATAACCTCATTAGATTTTTGTTCCGTATTAGGATCATAATATGTAATTCCATCGTAGAAACAAATGTAGAAAATGAGATGCACTTTTTTGGTAAATTTTAACAAATGTTTAATCCATCCAGCTAATTAAATAATAATAGCACATTGACTTATTCTCAACAATATTCTCTAAAATAACCATATAAGCCCTAAAGCTAAACAGTGTATTGTTACTGGGTTCTCGGGTAGGGGCGGCCCAACTTCATCGGAGGCCTAAAGCAAAATCTTAATAAGAGGCCTTAATATATATATATATATATATATATATAT